TTTTTGATAAAATTGAGAAACTAATAAAAACAGACTGAAAAAAATGGAACCAATGAAAACCATACCCGTCCCCAAATAGAACAAAAATGCTAAGAAACTTAGCCATGTTTGGTACACATTCTTTCAAAACTCATTTTCAACCACTCATTCTTCAATAAAATAATATTTTCCATCATATCAATAAATTTTTCTTACTTTTTAACCACATATTTCCTATCATATCACTATTAAAATACATTATTTCCTCGATAATATCTATCGAACACACCCTTAGAGCAAATATTAGCACAAGATGCAGAGTTTTGCAGAAAAGTAAGTCCCACACACAAGCATATAATCATTCAAATGGATATTTAGCATACCATGATCAACCATGTAAATATAATATTGCTGCATTCACATGTCAAGCACGAATGCAGGCCAGTGTGTTTAACACTTCATAAAATATGGAGAAATGGAAGTCTTTTAGTTGCCATTTAGCTTTACCTCTTGCCTTGACTACGCTTCGCAATTGTCCCCCAAAAATTGAACTGAGCTCTGAGGGAGCAAAATTTTGTGTTCTTGTAACAGCAGATTTATTCTTGGGGCCAACTGTCTCCCACTCCTCATCCTCAGGCGTAGAAACAAGAGATGATTTTTTTCCATTCAAATTAGGTTGCCCCTCAAGCTTCAGCAATTCTTCATGCATTTGATGCATGATGAAACTTAAAAATTCTTGTGCATCTTCTTGTCTGCGAAGAAATGTAAACAAAGATGATGCCCATACTCGAATAAATGAGAACTACACAAATGCAAAGCCACATAAAATAACAGCCGTGTCAATTACTTCTTCCTGATACATGGACACATATATAGCTTCTCCCTCTAAAATCCCATGGAGACTCAATGCAAGTCAATAAGATGGACTGACAAATGCCGACACAATTTTTCAAAAAGAGCACCAACATGACACATCCCTGAATATTAGTTTTCATTTTTACATTGTAAAGCAAATTTATTTTTGTTAATTCCGACGTGTCATCAATGTATATGTACTCCTGATGTGTTGGAGGAACGTGTCAGACCTCTTTAGCTGTACAAAATAAAAAAATAATTTGGATATGCGACTGAGAATTTCATACATGTTTCAGTCGCCGGAGTCGGGAGGTGTTGGTGCATCCTAGCATGATATTTTAGAAGTTAATTTTTTAATCAAAATATCAGCAACTGGCAGAGAACCCCAATGGAAAAGCACAAATAATAAGGATCAACGAACCTTGGCCTTCCTGAAATGCTGCTGGCCACATCAGGAGTAAAGTTCTTCAGTACCAGTTCAAACATGGTGGGACAGATCGAACTGCCCATTTCAAGAACAGTAGTAGAATCTTTCCTGTCCATCCTGGAACCCTTAGGCATGTCAACGTAACTTTTTGATAAAAATATCGGAAAGTTACTGGCAGAGAACATCAACGGAAAATCACAACAAATAAGAATCAACGAACCTTGGCTTTCCTGAAGTGCAGATGTCACCAACAAACTCGGCAAATGCAGTTAATGTTGGATAGCCAACCTTAACAGAAAACAAATGAATTTTTTAAGACTAGCACTTCCATGGAGTAAAATGTGGACAAAATATACTATTTGCAGGCTGTAATTTGGTACATTGAAAACAAATTAAACACATGAAAAAGATCAAACCTTTGGAATATTACAAGTTCTTAGTCTCTGTAGAAGTTGAACAAATGGAGAACAGGACAAAAGTGCCTGTAATGTCGCATTAAGGAAGCACAAATTTCCAGAGTTGATTAAGCCTCGGGGTAGTAAATCTCTCACAGCTAAAACAGGTCCGTCCACCTTAAAATGGGCCTCAGATTGAGCTTCGACTGAGGAATTATTAGCAGTCCCTTTCAACTTCCAATGGGGCTCTTCATCTTTCAATATCAAGCTAGAAGATTTTCTTGTCCCATTCTCATTCTCGGATAAATGTGATCCGGTAAAAGTGATGTCATCGATTACTGCCTCATTTCCATTATTACAAGAATCGTATTTCCCAATAGTTCCATTTTCTTTCAGATTTTTTGACAAGTTATCTCCGGCTGATTTTGTAGCCAAAACTTCATTGCCCTCTTGGATATTAGAGGAATGTGAGCCTTCAGAGGGATGTGAGCCTTCAGGCCCATTTGGGAAGCCAAACTGTATGTTATTGATGCCACTAAAATTACCAAAATTCAACACAGGCACCAGCTTTGGGGAATTGACTCGCGATTCTGTATTTCCCACTGGCCTTTCTGAACTGGTAGAATTCTGATTCAGTCAAACTGCATGTTAATGATGCCACAAATATTACCAAAATTCAACACAGGCACCAGCTTTGGGGAATTGACTCGCGATGCTGTATTTCCCACTGGCCTGTCTGAACTGGTAGAATTCTGATTCAGTAAAGACCTAGTTTCATCTTCTGTGAATGACCCAAACAATAACACCTGTAGATGTAAAGGAAGTGGCATGTTTAGCACTTCAAAATAGAACATGCAATCACTGTCATAATTTCGACCAGAAAATGACACAATCACCGTTCTTTACAAGGAGCTTATTCTTATAGATTTATAGTGACAATACAATGTCAAACGGTCTCTCAGTGATGATCAATGCCAGAAGCAGTTGAATCATGAGCAATTTCGTGACCTTCTCAATAAAAGAGACATCAGCAGATTCAGCACACAATAAATTGTTAGACAATGACATAGTTTGGGTCCTAAACAGAGTAACTTCATCCAACTTCTAAAAATACCCTTTTCTCATTTACTGATGAACTGGCCAACCTAACTCGAACAGTAATTTTTTTTTATCCTGAACAGTTCTACACCAAACATGTAAATCATTATATACAACCGGGGAAAAAATACACAAGTTAACAATGTAACATTTCATCGTCACCACCAAGAAGAAAGTTTTGAGTCTTTTATCTCACATAACCAACAAACATCATAAGCCCACAAGTTCAAATTATAACTTATCAACCAAACGCCACAAAAACAAGCAAACTACAAGCCAAAACAGCTAAATCTGCATAATATACACAACACTTGAATAAATATTAGCAAGAATCCCATAACACGCCTCAAAATTTCTTTCTTAACGTCCCACTTGTAAAACAAATCAACTGATTCAATACAAACAACTAAAAAAACATTAAAAAATAAAATCCGAAAAAGGAAAAAAAAAAAAGATAAATTTAACTAAAAACAATTAAACAATTCACTAACCTTGGAGGAGTCACTCATGTTCGAAAGTAAATCCAAGAACTTCTCAAACTTAGGATAAAAATATTTTGGGTGTGAAATAAAGAAGAAAGTGCATAGGAAAAATTAAGGTTTGATGAGGAAACGTAGTCGCAGAGTTTACAGAGCGAACAGAGAGTACTGAAGAAGACATGTGAGAGAAACAAAGCATTTAACGAAAGATTGGCGCTCCTAAGATAGAAGCACCGACCAATTATGATAATGGAATACAAAACAGATTGGGACTCGAATTTTGTTCTTCGTCTCCTCCTCGGTGTTACAGATTTTAGGTTTAGCCGTTTAGGTTCTGGTCTAGGTTATTCATACGAGAGAGGGGGTGAGTGATGACTCGATGATTTTTGTATACGTGGTAATTGAGAAATGCTACGTGTACACAATGTTTCACATAATTTTGAGTAATGTTAGTTGCAGTCGCTCACTGCAGCAGTCGTCTTACGTGGCACACACATGGCATGTAGTTATTTGATGCATTACTGAGAAAGTTTTTTACCACATTTAATGCATCAAATACACACTTGACATGTGTGTGCCACATAGGACGACTGCNGTCTGTTGCAGTTAACTAATGCAAGTAACATTATTCCATAATGTTTCACACCTCACTCTCGTGAAGTTAGCCACACACAATACAATATTTGTGGAGCCCTCTCCAAGTGAGGGAGGTATGAAACATTGTCTACACCACAAAGTGTGTACACATAAACTAATTCTTCGTAATTATAATTTTTTTAGAGAGACATGGTAAATTCAGCCAAAAAAATAAAAAAGAAAAATGTTGCAAAATTATGTGATAATTGTTGACGATTATTACTCTTATCACAAAGTCATTTATATCGTATAAGAATGTATTCTATTTAAATTTTCATTCTCATTTTGAACTCTGCAAATATGAGTTCATTGTTATAATTTTGATTATCTATTATTCTATTATATTGTTCTTCCTCCTTTAAATTTATAACATATTATCAACATGAAGGAGCTCACAAAACTGGAGAGAAAATTCTAAATCAAAATTGTAGAATATTCGAAGAATTTGGAATATCTCATCTTTTTGAATTTAGATTTTCATGAAATTTGCACAGTATTACAGATGAGAAGAATATTGAGAGAAGCTTTTATTCAAATTGATTAATTCAATACAGGAAGAGTCAAAATGAATAAATACAATCCAAGGAGGAAATAGCGGGAAAATGAAAAAGGCGGGAAGGCGGGAAAGTTAGTTAACAACTAATATAACAAACTAAACTATAATGATCTACATGAGTCGGACAGCTAAGATGAGGCAAGATCCAGCTAGATAAGTCACTGGCTTTAATACTCTCCCTCAAGATGAGCTATGGATATTAGTAATAGCTATCTTGGATGGCAAATGATGTAATGCAGCTGTAGGTAATGGCTTAGTGAAAATGTCTGCAAGTTGATGGTTTGATTGGATTGGTAGAAGCTTGATAACTCCATTATTGATTTTGTCTCTAATAAAATGGCAATATAACTCTATGTGTTTGTTACGTTCGTGGAAGATGGGGTTGGTAGCAATGTGAACAGCAGCCTGATTGTCACAAAAGATTGAAGCAGGTTTCTTGATATCCACATGAAAGTGACAAAGTAATTGTTGTATCCATATTAATTCACTGGCAGTCGAGGCTAAAGCACGGTACTCAGCTTCTGCGGATGATCTGGATATAGTGTTCTATTTCTTCGCCTTCCAAGATACTATCAATCTCCAAGGAAAACACAGAATCCAGTGACTGATTTTCTTGAGTCTAAGCAGGCACCCCAATCAGCATCAGCATATGCACGCAATTGTAGAGATGAACCAACAGCAAACAGAAGTCCTTGGCCTCGGAGTAGCTTTGATGTATTGTAGTAAATGATGCACAGCATTTAAATGAGGTTTTCGAGGTTGCGAAACAAATTGACTCAGTTTATGAACTACATAGGTAATGTCCGGCCTATACACTGTCAAGTAGAGCAATTGCCCAATCAACCTTCTATACATAGAACCATCTTCTAAGAGCTCCCCCTCAGAGGAGTTCAGAAGAACTTTGGGATCCATGGGCACCACAGTAGGCTTGCAGCCAAGGAATCCAGTATCTTCGAGTAACTGGAGAGCATAGTGTCGTTGGGACAGAACAATCCCACTATGTAACCGAGCAATCTCCAATCTAAGAAAAAATTTCAGCTCGCCAAGATCTTTAAGTTTGAATTGGCTGTGAAGAAATGCCTTTAAATCATCAATAATACAAGAGTTCGATCCCGTAATAACAATTTCGTCGACATACACCAGCAGAGCAACAAAATTATCTCCAGAACCTCTAGTAAAAAGGGAATAATCAGACTTAGATTGGTGGAATCCATATAATATAAGAGCTTATGAAAACCTGGAAAACCACTGTCTCGAAGCCTGTTTCAACCCATAAATCGATTTATGTAACCTGCAAACCAAACGTTCCCCATGTCTGCTAGACGAATTAGAAATGGTATAGCCTAAAGGCAAGTCCATATAAATTTCCTCAAACAGATCCCCATGAAGAAATGCGTTATTTACATCCAGATGAATGATATGTCACTTGTTTATTGCAGCTATAGCTAACAAGAGCTTCACTGTCACCATTTTAGCCATTGGAGATAAGGTTTCCAAGAAATCTAGCCCCTCTTGTTAGGTAAAACCTTTTGCCACAAGGCGTGCCTTGTGCCTTTCAACACTCCCATAAGATTTGTGCTTGGTTTTAAAAACTCATTTGCAGCCTATGGTGTGCTACCCTTGAGGTAAATTGGTAATGGACCAGGTTTTGTTTAGTTCCATAGCACCCAATTCTGCAGCCATGGCATCTCTCTAATGAGGTTCCTTCATAGCCTATTGATAATATTGTGGGTCAATGTTTGATGATATGTTTAAGGTAAAAATTTTATGTGACTGAGAAAGCTTGGAATAGGAAAGATAATGGCGGTAATGATGTAGTGATGAAAGTGTGAGGGATGAGGAATTGGACAATAGATTACAATGGAATTCTTGCAAGTATGAAAGATTTCTGCTAGTTCTTAAAGATCTCCTGAGAGCTGGAGCATTGGAAGCAGTGGAATTATGATCAACAGGATTAGCAAGATTCTGTAAAGTGGTAGGAGGATGAGGACTAGATGTAGGCTCAGTAGTAGAGTCAATGCTTGGTGAAGGCATATCAGCAGTACTAGCTATGTCATTGAAAGGAATAGGATGGGATGGGATCCCTTGAATTTAGCAGGAGGCATGGCAGTAATAGGGTTGGGCAAAACTAGGTCAGGGAATGAATCAATGACTTCAGAGGTCTTGGATATAGAATGAAAGGGAAAGATGTGTTCATGGAAAATCACATTTCTAGAAATGAAAATGTGTTTAGAAAGGATGTCATATAGTCGATACCCCTTAATGCCAGGGTGATAACCAAGGAAAACACTAGCCTTAGCTCTAGGATGGAATTTTAAACGATGAGAGGTGATGGTGGAAGCAAGGCATAAACAGCCAAACACCTTAAGGAAATTATAATCAACAGAGGACTGGTATAACAAGGAAAAAGGAGTTTTATTCTGAAGAATTGACGAAGGAGTTCGATTTCAGGTAAGTGGCAGTCAAGACACAATCACCCCAAATAGAAATAGGAACCTGTGATTGGAAATATAAGGCCCTTGCTACATTTAGCAAATGTTGGTGCTTCCTTTCAACAACAGAGTTCTGCTCAGGACATTCAGGGCAAGAAAACTGATGTAATATGCCCTTTTGATTGAAAAATTCTGTAAATCTCAATTCAGGTGCATTATCAGACCTAAAAGCTCTAACAGTTTTATGGAATTGTGTCTCAGCAAGGTTGAAAAACCTGGGAATGATCTCATGCACATCAGACTTCTGTTTCAACAGGTAAACCCAAGTAAATATTGTACAATCATCAACTAATGTTAGGAAATATTTATATACTTCACGCGTTGGAGAGTTATATGGACCCCAAACATCACAATGGATGAGGTCAAAGCTGTTCAGAGACATGTGATTGTTTGAAGCAAAAGATAAACGTCTTTGTTTAGCCAATGGACAAATATAGCAAGGAATAATACTACTTTTCTCACTTTTGAAATGTAACTGATCCTTCAAAGTTTCCAACATATTAAAAGATTAGTGTCCCAATCTATGGTGCCAAACATGAGGGGTCACCTTATTTATTACAGAACATATATGATTATTAACAATAGGAAATGAATTACAATCATTTTTCATTACATCAAATCCTGCTTCAATGATGTAAAGTCCATCAACAACATCAGCCATGCCAATCATCTTCCAACTGCACTGATCTTGAATGGGCATAATAATCAGTAAAGAACCTGACACTTATGTTTGAATCCTTGGTCAAAGAGCTAACTAATAGAAGATTAAACTTGAACTGAGGAACAAATAATACATTTTGAAGAGTTAATTCAGGTTTGAGGTCAACACTCCCAGTAAAATGCACAGGTATCCTGATATGATTAGGTAATGTGTGCTCAAGATGTTCATCAAATATTTGTACTGATCAAGATTTAAAGTTTGTACAAAATTTCCAACATTGCCAACAGATTGGCCTGAAATAGAATCAGACATTTGGTTAGCTATAGCAATTGATTTATAACTAGTTTGATTACCAGAACTAGTCCTCTATTTTGCTTTATATCCAGGTAGATATCCATGGAGTTTGTAACATTTATCAACTCCATGACCTCCATAGCCGCAATAGGTGCAAATAGGTCTATCTCTCCTCTGAATTTTGTTATAAGACTACCCCAAGATTGGCTTTCTGTCATCATTTTTGGCATAGAAAGCCAAAGAATCTGTAGATCTAGCATTCGAATTTATCCCTCTCTGATGTTCCTCTTGAGTGATAAGAGAGAAAACTTTATTAATTGGAGGACTGGATCCATAAGCAATATCTGACCCCGAATCTGAGAATAAGAATCATTCAGCCCTATTAAGAAGG